TGGGGGTACTTTTTCTGTGCCTCGGCCTGGCGGAGAATTTTCCTTGAATTGGGACACTGCACCCTTCGGCGGAGCTTTGCTATGGAGGAAGGAGAAACCATGCCTTTGAAAATGCTTCTGTTGTTTCCAAATCTGGATATAGTGATTATTGTATCCGCAAAGCTGTACGCAATGAACCTATTAAAAAGATGCGGAGACTTGTGGGTTAATCATACTTAGGCCTACTTGTTTGTAAAACTGGGGCGTGCATTATTACTACGCGAAATCTTGTTTGGGCGAAGTGGCGGGCGGGTGGGCACAGTTTCACGTGAGTGAAGTGAGAAATGGGCGAAGTGGCAAATGGGCGAAAGAGGCAAACGGGTAAAGTGGTCAGGAGCGAAGTGATCGACACTAAAACAGAGACCTTGAGTTTATCCCCCCCCCTTCAATTCTACTGGATATGCTACAGTTCCTGTGTGATGGATCCACCATACCAAGACAGTTTACCTCAAACAAACAAAGAAAAGCAACAAAAATACATGTACAAAGAAACGGACAGATCAAAATCATAAAAAAGAGCATACACAAAACTTTAGCTCAACTGAAAACATTGGAAATACCCCCCTTGAATGGGCGTGACAAGGAGTGTCACGCAAGTTCAATTATCGTAATAGCGGCATCGAAGATTTCAGCTCTTAAAACAGCCGTTGAACTAATTTTTGAACTACTGAAACCAAGCGTCGATTAGTAGGAATCGACATGCGATGGTATTATGATTCTAACTTTAAATTGATAAATTTAAAAAGACTCCTCTTTTTCTCATTCAAAGAAAAGGCACAGTTGTTTTGTTCCATTAAATATGTTGGGCAATTGAAGACATTTTCTCCGTCAATCCTGCATGTATTTGGTTCCAAGCCTTCGATACTGAGTTGTCAATCAGCTGTAGTTGCTTCTCGGTATCGAGGAAAATACCATTGAAATGGTTGCTGGTTGGCTGTTTATCGTTGCTGTGTAAAGGGGAAAATTTGACGTAGGCTATGGTACCTGAATATATTCATTGTTCACCACAAATGCAAAAAACTATTCACTGGTAAGTTTATTCATCTGGATTAACATGTCTTCCGTTGAAAATCACAACTTACTGCATTTTTTTTTTGAGATAGGCCTAGGCCTGTCCGTTGTTTTTATTTTTCCTCCGAGAATTCATGTTTATCTTTTGGTGTCCAGATTTCGGACAGTTTATTTTGCTGTTTTTATGTCGAAATTTAGAAATGTGAGTTAAGTTTTCCTGTAATTCTTATGCACGATTTACTATTGTCTGGTGTTAAGACTGAAGTGCATCAAAAGCTGACAAAATGACAGGTTCTCAGGCCGGTACAGTGATGGGAAATTTCACCTTGAAATCACGTTCATCGACAATGACCGACTGACTCTTTGTTTGGCTGGATGAGATCACTGAAAATAGGCCTTGGCCTAATACATACATTGTATAACATTAGGCCTATGTGTTGTAATTTCGTATAGATGAAATATCCCTCAATTTTTTGAAAATTTCAAGATTTTTAGGAAAAAGCCAAGGAAGAGTTCCATACTAGGCCTACAGACGCCAGTAATTATTCCCTACAGTGATCTGTTAGCTGTCAGAAAGCAAAGACATGTCCAGAAAAGTTCAGTTTAGGAGAGACAAAACCAAGTCGTTTACTTTGATAATGCTTAATTTTTCAGACCAGCGTCATAGGGTTTGTGCACAGGGTGTCAAGCGGCATCCATATATGGAACTCTTTCCAAAAGTCGAACCTCTAATGTTTAAAAAAACTCTGTTTAAATCAAAAATTTAAATAAACTTCTGTTCTATTTTACTGATCCATTCCCTGCTCAGTTTGAAGAAAATTCTGTTTTTCTGTAGGAGCAGGCTGCTCCAGTAACCAGTAATGGCCATGGAAATCAGCAACTTAGTGGGTTTAGACTCCATCTCCAGCCTGGATCAGGATAATAATCTTCTGTCTGCAAGGTCCAACAGCTCCTTGAGCTCCACGGATGATATCTTGTCAAGTAATCCATCACGAAAGAAGAAAACCAATACGCTTTCTCGTTTAAGGTGGGTTTATGATATAAACTCCTCTGCTGGCACTTTGTACATTGCTGAATGTTGATGCTTTCAATTCCTTTAGCAAATGAAAACATAAACCGGCACATTTTTACTGTTTCAGGCATTATAGTTGGGACTGATACTGTAATTGGGGCGTAACACAGTTAAATACAGTACATAGCAAAATCTGAATAGCTTTCAGTTGCTTATTGGCTAAGCCCGATAAAATAGTGAAGTAAGGCTTAATCTACTCTTGAATGTACTTGAAAGTATTTCTTAATTGTTTAAAGTATTTTTCTGTTTGAACTTTGATTGCAGGAAACTTAAGAAGCATGGACCCACGGAACTTCAAGAAAAAGTAGAGGGATTGCCATCTTCTTCATTGGTAGACATCAAGGATTTTACTGGGAACCAATTGGACAAGCACATCAACGATAATATTTCAGAAGTGCCTGACAAAGTGCAAGAAAGTAAAGAGAATGCAGATGCCAGAGTTCAGGGCGGAATTGACGAGGTCTCATCGCTGTTGTCCAGAGAGCGCGGCACACTTGAACAGAAACCGCTTCCCTCCCCCCACATCAAGCCTCGCCGCATCAGGCCACTCGATGGCATTGTCGACAGCTTAGAGAATAGAGAGGCCCCCGAAAAGACAAAGCTTAATCACGGTGAGCTTGAGAGCTTGATGGGTCCCCCTCCGCTCGCAAGTCTCACCAGAATTACCCCATTGAACGGAGAGACAGGCCCCAATACCGTGGAGAAAGACACAGAGGCAGGATTTGTGAGGCCACAAACAGATGCAAACAGCAATAGTCTAGTTAGGAGAGAGACAGGACCCTCTCCACGAGTGAAACCCCGTCGATTTACGAATATCGAGAAGGGCCTAAACGAAGATGCAACGATAACCAAGGAGCAGAGTGAAAGGGATTCTGTGTTATCAAAGGAATCGTCTCTTGTTCGAGACGAGCAGACAACAAACAAAACCAAACTCAATGAAAGTATCTTCAAGCCAATCTCGTCAAGTTTCGACCATGTTTCTATGCTGCCTCCCCGTGATATTACAAGCAAAACGCTTAGCAGTGACAGTGATGTACAGTCGCCTGTATTGCAGAGGCCAGATGACAAGACACTTGTAGAAGACATCATTATTCCTGCAACAATGGCAACAGAACAAGCAATAATTCCACAGGCATCTGAAATAGTCCAGAGTGAGCCAGCAGGGTTTTCAAACGTGAGATCGAAAGATACGCACTCACCTGACGAAGTTGTGAACTTTGACAGTGAATCAGACACTGAAGATCTCATTGTTGTTCCGGATAACAGTCCAGGCAAAACCAACAAGGGGACTCTGGAAAACATTTCATCAAACGTAACGGAGTCGATCGGGCAAGAGGTAAGAGATGTGCAAAGTGACCTCGTCGATGATGTCAAGGGCAGTCGGAATTCACTCCGAAACATGTCCAATTCTCTCCCTCCCCTCGATGCATCTACACCGGCAAGAGCTGAGACGGACCGTAAAGCTTCATTACAAAGCACAGATAGTAATGGCGAGGACCTGATTGTGAGTACCTTTGCCAACAAGGCTGAGGCGGAAGAAGTGATCACGCCATCCCAAACCAAAGGAGAGGAGTCGGTGATGACGCATATTTCTCCTGTAGAATTGGCAGCAGAATTGAACAGTCTAAGCGAGGACGAAATGTTGAGGGCATACTCTAAGTCCGTCGGGGTAGATACAACTCTTGGAGACACCAATGATGTTGACAAAGAGAGTGTATCGTTGGAGCATCGTCATCGGAGTATTGTCGAAGAAAGTGTAAATCACGCTGGCTTAGAGTCTGGGGACCAGACCGAAGATATTAAGGCATCTAGGAAGGGGCATTCATCGCCTGCTGCTGTGGAGTCTCCTCCATCGCTGCCAGGCTCCTCATCAGATCTGGCCTCCTTCAAACCTGATGACATTGAGCACTCTGTGGCCATGTCAGAGCCAGTCTTGGGAAGCACGAGCAGGTCGCAACTCTCAGACACAAGCCGTTCCTTCATGTCCACCGGTGCACTTTCTACAATAACCACAAGAACTGCAAGAAACAAGTAAGAAATTGGCGATATTAACATGTTTCCATGGTTTCTGTCTCGCATGCATTTCTCGTTACCCTGCATACCACCAATTTTTGTGGTATAAATTGGGGCTTAGTTGAAATTTCTTGAATAAACTTCCTTCCTGAATTTTTTTGCTGAGGATACCTCATCTCTACCAAATACATGTAGTTTCACCTAGTTCTCAGCTTTTGCTGTCTTTCTACTTATGTTTATGTAATATGGTATGGTATTCAAATAATGCCATTGATAAATTGATAAATGCAATGGTAGGAACATCCATGTTCATGTGCAAGACGATCTTTCTTCCACAACCTGACAGCAATATACACGTAGCAGTTTGTTTTGAAAAAGTTCTGTACACTGACATCTCTTGACAGCCTGTGCACACACCCTACGAGACTGGGACCGAAAAATCCCAAGTGTTGTCGAAGTTAACGCTTCAATAATTTCCCTGAGATTTGAATTTGAGGACAGGTTGTCACTATCTGATGGCAAATGAATCCCTCTAAGGAAAAATTAAAGATGTCCATATATTGAGCTCTAACCGTTAGTTATTATAAACAATATTACCTCACATATTTATGACTCGGTGTGGGATTCTTATGGAGTTCAGCGGTCAGAGGAAAATGTCAGCACATCTCTTAGAAATCAAGACAGTGTATTGTTAAGTTTCCTTTGAATTCTGACCTGTGGCTAAAACTCTACTGCCAGATTGTTTTGTTATGCAATTACTGCATCATTTGGTTTTCCATTCCTAAATTGATTCATTAATTGTAATTGTAGGACCTACTTGAGCGGTGGGGCGAGTACCTCAGGATCTTTGCTGAGCAGGGAAGAGCTGGAGCGATTCTTCCCCGACAGGAAGGTCAAAATCTTCATTGCTACTTGGAACATGTGTGAAGGAAAGGTAAATTACATTACACATATTGTGATATTACACATTATATCACTCCCCAGACTCGGTTTATAGTGTGCTTGATTTGCAAATGATGTGCAGGTCCAAGTGGAGTTTATTGACTTTTTGGGTTCAGTGTAAACAATTAAGACTACATGTAGGTTTTGGGCTTTCCCCCCCCCCATGCATTTTTATCCTCACTGTCTGGACAATTTCATGTGCACATTTCCATTTGGATGTCTGTAGATTTTTATATGTACATGTACAACTCTACAGTATTAGTATGGTACATGTCTCCTCTGAAAAGATAATATAACACATGCCATTGTTGATGGCGTGAATGAGATCTTGTTGTCTGCACTTTGAGTGCCTTGGTTGTTTACTCAAATGTAAACCAAACCTGTTGCTAAGGGACCCCTGGTTCTGTAAACACTTCTCAAAGTGGATCGTGCATTTTCTTGATAGCAGGTAGTTCATTTTGGTGGTATGTATTGTCCCGTCCTGAACACCAAGTGATTTAAATGACGTACATGAACAACATGTACAAGGCTGTACACAAACATGCAGGCATTGGTGTGGGCGATTGAGAGCATGTATAAAATACAGGTTGCAGTTAAAAATGGACGGTATTTGTCGTGAGAATGTGTCTGAACACAGCCTCAGCGAGGGCTACGTCAATAGCGACTCAATGTGGCTACAAGTAGCGTACATCTGTGAGATACAGTTGCAGCCACAAGCCAGTGGCTGTCATGTACACATGGTATTTTGAGCCACAGCTGTTACTTGGACACAGCTGTCCGTTGGACAGACAATCTGAGAGCGATCCGCTTACACTGGTCTTATGTATACCCTTCAAATGGGCCAAATAATTGAAATACATGTATGTTACATGTCCATCGCATTGCAGTCCGCATGTTGCATTCCAGCTATGTACATGTACTTCGTGTAATTTCAGTTCTGAATTCATTACCTGTCTTTACATACATGTACATGTACATCTGAATTCTATACTGCATATTGAAAAAGAAAAGGTTGTCATGTCAGTTTGGAGTTTGCCAAAGTGAGACCTTTCTGACATAATTAATACGGGCGATTCACAATAGTGCGCCACCCAAGTGTTTGCAATGCATTGGCCAATCATAATGCGCGAAATTTGTCGACCCTTTCCAAACGCGCATTGGGTTGACAAATTTTGCATTTTGTGATTGGCCGACTCGTTGCAAACTCATGTGGCGTACTATTTTGAATTGCCCGTATTGAATGCTAAGAAAATGATTTTAGAAAAGCACAATTTAACTTATTCACTGCTGGAAAAAAAATTCTAAAACTCAAAGTTGCTTCCAAAAAAAATACTCAGATGAGGAATTATGAACAAATCATTAATTGATCATTTTGTTAGTTTGGCATTACCTAATTTGATATGACTGGTCTCTAGTCTGGTATCAGAGTGTATGGACATGTTATCAAATTTCTGGTGTACATGTAAATTACTTTGTCACAGATGCAGTCATTCTTTGTCAAAACCAATTGTGTAAACCCATTGTATGAGAAATGAAGAGCATGTAACCGTAGTCTTACTTCATCACACATTGTCGTGCTAGGCTACATCATCTGATGTCCTCATGGCATGATGGGCTTAGTGGGGATGCATTGAGTCAGTGTGCTTGCCCCTGGCATTTTCAAATCAAATTCAGAAATTCTTCCGAGTTATGCATGGAGCTGCAGCTAAGTGATGCTGTTTGTCTGAAGGGTCCCATGGCCGAACAATTGTTCTGTCACATCAGCCCGCAAAAGCCAGATTTCCAAACAAAATACGAAAAGTACACGTACGCATTATTGTCTGGCTGAATCAATGCTTATTGAATTTATAAAGTTTCATTAGGGAATATTGTGAGATTTATGAGAAGTCACAATTCACAATAGCATATAATTGACTATGGAATTTCTAAATATTGTCACACACATGTACATGCATTAGAGTGCATACGTGTACAATCGCTCCTTTTGTATCAGTATAATATACATGTATGCATTGTGCATGTTGATGTACCCCTCAGTGAATGCCAGAGACATTATCATTTGTCTCTGATTGGCATAAGGATCCTTTCACACAACGATTGCCAATAGCTTTGGCCATAATTGTGTCTGAGAGCTTCTACGCACACGTACATGTACTTGTCCGGCCTTTGTGGTTACACGCTCTGGTGGGGGATTTATTGAATTTAAGTATTCATCAGTTTAATAAGATTCGTGCTGTTTAATCATTTGGCTTGTTCTAAAATGGGCATTTTCATTACATGTACAAATAATGCATCAATAAACAGCATCTGTTAAATTCACATCCTTTAAGTATAACTATAAGTCAAAATTCTAATAAAATTCAGTCAATGTTTATAAGAGGGAGTGGAAGATCTTCAAAACCATCCTGATAATTAATTTCCTTTTGTGTAACATGCAAATTTTGTAGGAGACTATCTGTTTTGTCAAAAATAGTCAAGTTATTGTACATGTGATATGTCTACAAACTGCAGCAGAAGTTTGTTGCAGTTTGGCGTGTCTGTTTGTATATTCCATTTCTTTATTTCACACAAGATAGTGGGATTTTAATATTAATGGACAATATGTACATGTACATCAAAAGGAGGTCAAAGGTTGAAAACTTTCATCCATGGAATTTTAGAAATTTTCATCAGATGAGTTTTATTTCTAAGCCACATCATCAGGAATTGAAATGCGAAAATGTTGAAGGTACAAGCTCTTTAACAGAAATTTAAAAACCGGGAAACAAGTAGCGCTGTGGTTGCTGTGTCAGTGCAGGTTGTCTGACAAAACAACTTGGCAAGATTAATGAGCAACTCAAAGGAAAACATGTTTTCTCTGACTTCGTCTGTTCAAATAAATAGTTGGAAGCATCCAAATCGAATGCGGTGTCATTTGTCTTCAGAGCTCAACTATAACAATCTAAAAAGGGCTTTTTTCTGTTCATGCCAAGATGCAAATTCTGAACATGCTGAATGTAGATTGCGTCACTCTCAGAAAACAGAAAAAAAACGAGGGGAACCCTCGCCCTGTGTTTGTAGTGGATAAACCCTCGTGCATGTCAAACATTGCATGTATTGTTTGTAGCCATTGTTACTCTCTAAGTTTAAAGTGCAGACATGCATTCATTCCCTTAAAAAAAAATAGGGTTACATGTACTTGGTTTTAACCAAACCCTTCCCCGATGCTTTATTGTTGATCATATGTACATATGCCATGCAAATGGATGTTTGATTTATTTATAAATAAATTCTAAATGACAAGGAGTCATTTTACGTATATCGTGGTGATTGTCATTTCTGTATCAGGTGTTACCAGATAATTTAGAAGAGTTGCTGTTGCCGGAAGATTGTGTTTTGGTTCAAGATATGTACGTCGTTGGAACGCAGGAATCATCGTCGGATGGGTAAGAAGCGGAATTGCAGCTAAAAATTTAGGGCTAAAGTTGATGGAATTGTGGGTAAGATTTAGACTGGCTGCACCTGGAGATTTTGCTTTCTGAAGAAAACAAACGGACTATAGATTTCTTCCATCCCCTTCTTCGGGTTAAGCGAGGGCACATTGCAGCATGAGCACACCAAATATTTGCCCTAACTGCAGAGGTAATCTAATGTACAGACATTCTGGACTGTTTAGGGATATAAGCCTGCTGTAGGATTACCAATTTTCATCAGACTGTGCACAAAAACGTGTTCTAGACTGTTAAAAATGCTTTTTGGCTCATAAACCAAGAGAATGGTTTCAAAATATGTAATCATTGGTTTTGAGTGTCCTTCCCCAAGAAAGAATCCAACGATGAGTCTTTCTGAACAAATAACCCTAACTCCCTCGTGCAAAAATGTATTAAAATTGGAGGATTCAGGACTGTTAGGGTGAATGATTTTTATCAATATCCATCTGTTTTGACACAAAAATTGTACTCAATGATGATCTGAAACATACTTTTATATGTTACTTTTGTGGTCATGCAATAGAATAAGTTCTGAAAGTCCATTACTCCATCAGTTTTCATTGATAAACATTTTTGAACTTGCTTAATCAAAAAGCAAAAGCAAAAAGCCCTCCATTCTTTGCACTTATAGCTGTACAATGAAAGGATGCATTATCCTGGCAACTGTTGCCTAGCAACATCATTGGCAAAGCAAGAGCAGCTGTTGTTAGTTTCATCATTTAAAAGCTCTTTTTAAATATTCAGATGGCCATGCTTTCATAGGAAGGTGTGGATATTGTGCAAGTCACTTAAATAAGTCCTTGAAACGCCATTGGGCTATGTAGGAATGTGTCTGCACCCAACTCAGAATGTTGCACTTTGGGATGGCTGCCGACGCGGCTAGTTCTTTGTCCACTCTGACTGAGTGAGCATGGTACATTTTTCTGCCATCAAATATTAATTTGCAGTACACAACCTGCAGACGAATACTCAAACAATTTTGTGATTGTGTGAACCAAAAAAGGAATTCTGAATTTGATTGTTAGTCCGCTTTGCAATTCTCCTTTGTTTCTGACATTCTGAGGTGTAAAGATGGATAGACTAAACTACATGTATATTTTCATTTTGATTAATTCTTGATGTGATTAAATTCTTGATGGAAGACAGTCTTTAGAAAATCTAAAGTCTCTCCATGGATTTTTATTGGTCATTGTGACATTCATGTACATGCACCTGATTTTGCTGTTACTTTATTTAAACTCACGGAAAATGATCTCTGTGGTGTTAATTGAATTAAATTCTTTGTTGTCAAATACCATCATAAGAACAGCTGACCAATACAATTTCAATTTGTTAGCAATTAATTTTTTTTCACAGTGTTTGATTCTTTTTTCAAGAACATAGTGTTTCCTGTCAAAAGAATCCTTGAAAACAAAACCTCTGTGTATTTCAATACCTGTCTGATTTCCTGGTGTTTTTGGTTTGGGGGAGCAGGCAGGAGTGGGAGATCCGTTTGCAGGAGATCCTGGGCCCATCTCACGTCCTCCTACACTCGGCCACCCACGGCGAGCTCCGACTCGTCGTCTTCATCAGGAGGGACCTCATCTGGTTCTGCTCAGGTCTGTGCACAAATTTGGAGCGTGTCTCCAGCCTTGCTTAATTTGTACCCCCCACCCAAGTTTGGTATTTTTAGCTCAATGAAAAGTCACAATTTGCCGGAGGAATATTGATTGCTTTTTATTTTTTGCA